TAGTAGTAGTATTGTAGTATAGTATAGTAGTAGTATAGTAGTAGTAGTTTAGTATAGTAGTAGTATATAGTATATAATAGTAGTATAGTATAGTAGTAGTACTAGTAGTACTAGTAGTATAGTATTGTAGTATAGTAGTAGTAGTAGTCGTAGTAGTATATAGTAGTAGTATAGTAGTATAGTATAGTATAGTAGTATAGTAGTAGTATAAAATATTAGTATAGTAGTAGTATAGTATAGTAGTAATAGTACTAGTAGTAATATAGTATAGTAATATAGTATATAGTATAATAGTAGTAGTAGTAGCATAGTAGTATACTATAGTAGTATTAGTATAGTAGTATAGTAATAGTAGTAGTATAGTAGTGTAGTATATAGTAGTAGTATAGTAGTGTAGTATAGTATAGTATAGTAGTAGGATAATATAGTAGTATATAAGTATAGTATAGTAGTAGTATAATATAGTATAGTAGTAGTATAGTAGTATATTAGAATAGTAGTATAGTAGTATAGTATATAGTATATAGTTGTAGTATAGTAGTACAATAGAGGTATATTGTGTATAGTGTATAGTAGTATAGTATAGTATATAATAGTAGTAGTATCGTATACTGTATAGTTCATAATATATAATATAGTAATAGTAGTAGTATAGTATAGTAGTAGTATAGTATAGTAGTATAGTAGTAGTAGTATAGTAGTATAATATATAGTATAGTAGTAGTAGTAGTAGTATAGTATAGTAGTAGTATAGTATAGTAGTATAGTAGTAGTAGTATAGTATAGTAGTATAGTACTAGTAGTAGTAGTAGTAGTATTATAATAGTAGTAGTAGTATAGTATATAGTTGTATAATAGTAGTATATAGTATAGTAGTAGTAGTAGTAGTAGTATAGTAGTATAGTAGTATAGTATAGTATAGTATTAGTAGTAATATAATAGTATAATATATAGTAGTATAATAGTAGTAGTAGTATAATAGTAGTAGTAGTATATAGTAGTATATAGTAGTAGTATTGTAGTATAGTATAGTAGTAGTATAGTAGTAGTAGTTTAGTATAGTAGTAGTATATAGTATATAGTAGTATTATAATAGTAGTAATAGTAGTAGTAGTAGTATAGTATAGCATAAATAGTATATAGTTATAGTATAGTAGTACAGTAGAGGTATATAGTATCTAGTGTATAATAGTATAGTATAGTATATAATAGTAGTAGTATAGTATAGTTCATAATATATAGTATATTAATAGTAGTAGTATAGTATAGTAGTAGTATAGTATAGTTCATAATATATAGTATATTAATAGTAGTAGTATAGTATAGTAGTATAGTGTAGTAGTGTAGTAGTAGTAGTAGTAGTAGTAGTACTAGTAGTATAGTATATAGTTGTATGGTAGTAGTATATAGTATAGTAGTATAGTAGTAGTAGTATAGTAGTATAGTATAGTATAGTATTAGTAGTAATATAGTAGTATAGTAGTATAGTATTAGTAGTAATATAGTAGTATAGTAGTATAGTATATAGTAGTAGTATAATAGTAGTAGTATTGTAGTATAGTATAGTAGTAGTAGTTTAGTATAGTAGTAGTATATAGTATATAATAGTAGTATAGTATAGTAGTAGTACTAGTAGTACTAGTAGTATAGTATTGTAGTATAGTAGTAGTAGTAGTCGTAGTAGTATATAGTAGTAGTATAGTAGTATAGTATAGTATAGTAGTATATAGTAGTAATAGTAGTATAGTATAGTAGTATATATAGTATAGTAGTAATAGTAGTATAGTATAGTATATAGTATAGTATAGTAGTATAGTATAGTAGTAGTTGTAGTATATAGTAGTATATAGTATATAGTAGCAGTATAGTATATAGTAGTAGTATAGTATATTGTAGTATATACTAGTAGTATAGTATAGTAGTATATAGTATAGTATATAGTATAATAGAATAGTATAGTAGTATAGTTGTAGTAGTAGTAGTATAGTATATAGTAGTAGTAGTAGTATAATATAGTAGTAGTAGTATAGTATAATAGTAGTAGTAGTAGTATAGTATACTACTACTATATATAGTAGTATAGTAGTATAGTATAGTATAATAGTATAGTAGTAGTAGTATAATATATTAGTATAGTAGTAGTATAGTATAATAGTAATAATATTAGTAGTATAGTAGTAGTAATATAGTATAGTAGTATAGTAGTATAATATATAGTATAGTAGTAGTAGTAGTAGTATAGTATAGTAGTAGTAGTAGTATAGTAGTATAATAGTAGTAGTAGCATAGTAGTATAGTATAGTAGTATTAGTATAGTAGTATAGTAGTAGTAGTAGTATATAGTAGTAATATAGTAGTGTAGTATAGTAGTATAATATAGTATAGTAGTATATAGTATAGTATAGTAGTAGTATAATATAGTATAGTAGTAGTATAGTAGTATATAGTATATTAGAATAGTAGTATAGTAGTATAGTATATAGTATATAGTTGTAGTATAGTAGTACAATAGAGGTATATAGTATATAGTTTATAGTAGTATAGTATAGTATATAATAGTAGTAGTATAGTATAGTTCATAATATATAGTATAGTAATAGTAGTAGTATAGTATAGTAGTAGTAGTAGTATAGTAGTATAGTATAGTAGTATAGTACTAGTAGTAGTAGTATAATAGTAGTAGTACTAGTAGTATAGTATATAGTTGTATAGTAGTAGTATATAGTATAGTAGTAGTAGTATAGTAGTAGTATAGTATATAGTTGTATAGTAGTATAGTATAATATAGTATTAGTAGTAATATAGTAGTATAGTATATAGTAGTATAATAGTAGTAGTAGTATATAGTAGTAGTAGTATTGTAGTATAGTATAGTAGTAGTATATAGTATATAGTAGTAGTATAGTATAGTATAGTAATATAGTATTGTAGTATAGTAGTAGTAGTAGTAGTAGTATAGTAGTATAGTATAGTATACTAGTATATAGTAGTAGTAGTATATATAGTATAGTATAATAGTAGTAGTAGTATATAGTAGTATATAGTAGCAGTATAGTATATAGTAGTAGTATAGTATATTGTAGTATATACTAGTAGTATAGTATAGTAGTATATAGTATAATAGTATAGTATAGTAGTATAGTTGTAGTAGTAGTAGTAGTATAGTATATAGTAGTAGTAGTATAATATAGTAGAAGTAGTAGTATAGTATAGTAGTATAATAGTAGTAGTATAGTATACTACTACTATATATAGTAGTATAGTAGTATAGTATAGTATATGGTAGTAGTATAGTATAGTAGTATAGTAGTAGTAGTATAGTATATTAGTATAGTAGTAGTATAGTATAGTAGTAGTAGTACTAGTAGTATAGTATATAGTTGTATAGTAGTAGTATATAGTATAGTAGTATAGTATATAGTAGTATAGTAGTAGTAGTAGTAGTAGTAGTAGTATATAGTAGTAGTAGTAGTAGTATAGTATAGTAGCAGTATAGTAGTAGTAGTAGTAGTATATAGTAGTAGTATACTAGTAGTAGTATATAGTAGTAGTATACTAGTATAGTAGTAGTAGTATAATATAGTAGTATATATAGTATAGTAGTATAGTAGTAATAGTAGTATAGTATAGTATATATTATAGCGTAGTAGTATAGTATAGTAGTAGTAGTAGTATATAGTAGTATAGTAGTAGATAATATATAGTAGCAGTATAGTATATAGTAGTATAATAGTATATAGTAGTATATACTAGTAGTATAGTATAGTATATAGTATAATAGTATAGTATAGTAGTATAGTTGTAGTAGTAGTATAGTATAATAAAGTAGTAGTAGTATAGTATAGTAGTATAATAGTAGTAGTATAATATACTACTAAATGATCTCTAAATATGACATGCTTATAGTTGAATTGAGTGGCTCCACAAGACGAATCTAACGAGACCAAGATTTCTTAATTCTTACATGATTATCAGCCGCAAATGTCTGAAAAATGCTCTATGATTGAGGGAAGTAGTATGGTTTGCCCGATGGAGCACTCTGAACCTGTCCTGATTTTTCTCCATATTTACGGGCTGTGTCACTTACAAAAATATATAAATAATAAATAAACCTACACTTTTTACATGAAGGAGCCTTTAACTAGAGATTAGAGAGAACTCTGAGGTTTTTAGGGATCTAAAGCTCCACTTAAGCACCACCGCAAACGAACTCTTGTCAGTCGATCGGACCACCTCCCAGTCGCCTGACCATTATCGGACGTCCTTTGATCTCCACCAAACTTCCACAGACCACCGCCAGACCTCCATCGTTCTCCGTCGAACTTGTGCGGATCATTGTCGGACCACCGCACTGGCCCTACCGCTGCTAGACCACTATACGACCGCCAATCTTAACTAGACTCCTGCTCGACCATTGTCAAATCATCGCTGGACTGCCAACCACCATTGGACCACCACTTGCCCATCGACCACCGATGGACCTTTGCCCGTCCGCTGAACTCTGTCGGACTTTTGCCAGACCATCACCCAACTCCTGAGTCATTGAACTTCCACCCGACCAATGTCAGACCTGTGTCTGGCCGCAAATTGCCACCGGACTTTCGTCTAAATGCCGTCGGACTTTTGTCAAACTCTCAAATTATTGTAATTGCACCGCCTCTAAGTTAAGTGATGTGTCAACTTTTATAATTAACTCAAATTTAATTGAATCTTTTCACTTAGAGGAGACCCGTGATTTTTCTAGTTTCAGATTTTCACATTAAAAATTTTTCTAATATTTTTTTATTCTCTCTTTTGCTATCTGTTAATGTTATGAATATTCGTGTATAGCTAGACCGAAAAATTCACTCAAAGAAATCAAAGTACGCATTGTATTACACAAACAATCCTTTAAAAATAAAAATGGTTAGCTTTATGAAGAACCTTTTGTAACCTTCTATGTCCAAGTCTGACCAAGAGAGCGGAGCTGCGGATCCAAACCCTAGTTCTCAGATCTCGATGCCCAATCTCTCTCGAGGCCCGCATTTTCCATTATTCGAAGGATTTGCCCACCTATTAGCCGATTATGTGGGTAACTTTCGCAGGGAAGGATCTTTGTGTAGCGGGATTCTCTAAGGAGGAAGATCAGGAATAGGAAAAGCAAAGCTCTAACGAGTTGACGATGGGGAGAGATGACGGTGTGCTTCTGCTTATCCTGCTTGGAGCTTGTGTTTTGAGAGCCGGAGCTGATGGATCTGATCACAGATATAAGGGGATCACGTTCCATTATATGCAAACAAAGTTGGCCCTCTTCACAATCCAAGGTAAAAGTATGAACTGTTTGTTTAGATCAGTTTTTTTCATCTGCCTCCTATGCGGTACTTGGTTTTGTATCAGGGATCTTCTCCCAGGTTCCTTTTTTATGTTGTCGTTTGACCGTTGGGGAGATTTTACAGATTTTGCATATCAATGTCTGGTAGAATTGGTTCACATTTGACCTAATAAATATTTGAGATGTCGATTGTGTGAGTAGATAATACATTTCTGTTAATGAATGGATGTTTGAACCTAGTGGCTGTTTGATTGCAACATTTAGCCATGATTTAGGCCAGATTTTGCCAAATAGTTTTCTGGCTCATAGAAATTCTGTTGTGTTTTCAAATCATATTTTCGTCCCATTTTGGGCTAAATCATTAATTTAGTAAATCCTAAAGTATGATTTAAGAGATTTACACTACTTCTATGTTGCTTCTTCAACTTCATTTAAATCCTAAAGCTTGTAAATATCTACAAACCAGTTAATCAGATTTAGGCTTCGTTGTGGATGACTTTCTTCCTGTTTCTTAAATCCTAAAGCTTGTAAATATCTACAAACCAGTTAATAAAATTTTTGTATTAAAAAGTTGCTTTAAGAAGCATGAAGAAAACCGTCCCAAACGAAGTCATAGTTTATTGCATGATAAATGGTTTTTAGGATTTCACACCACCAAAATTTACTAAATCTGAATTTACAAAGGCTACGTTTGGGACAATTTTCTTGCTACTTCTAAAACAGTTTTCTAGTAGAGAAAAAATAATGGCTTAAAGCTGTTCAAACAAAACCTAAACCATACTAGTAGGCTAGCCAAACAGCCCATAAATATCATAATGGCAATATACTTATACTTCTGTCTGGCAGAAGTCTTGTGCTAATAGTTGTTTGTACTTTGGGTAATTTGTTCATCTATTCCTTGTGCGTTGTGCTTTTATTTCCACCTCCAATATTAACCGTATAATTTCTGTTCTGTGTTCAGTGAGACCTACCGGTACTACGATCTACCATTCTGTTCACCAGGTCTGCTACTAGAAATAGCTGGATTTTATTTGGTTTTTCATTTTGATAACAAAGAACTTTATTTCTGTGACTATAATTTCTTAGTTATTGGAGTGTTGAATGATTGCAGATCACATTACTGAGAAAAAGGAAGCCCTCGGTGAAGTCCTGAATGGCGATCGATTGGTTAATTCACCATATGAGTTAAACTTTCACGAGGACAAACAATCTAAGAGTCTTTGTAAGAAAACATTGTTGAAGGAAGATGTAGCCAAGATCAGAGATGCCGTCTCAAAAGATTACTATTTTCAGATGTTTTATGATGACTTGCCTTTCTGGGGATTTATTGGAAGAATTGAGAAGGAAAAGTTTGATCTGAGTGAGAACGAGAAGTACTTGCTATTCAAGCACATTCATTTTGACATTCTCTACAATGATGACCGTGTGATTGAGATAAATGTGCTATCTGACCCTAACATGTCAATAGATATCACAGATGATAAGGAAGTTGATGTGGATTTCTCGTATTCGGTGTCATGGAAGAAAACCGATATCGCTTTCGAGAGGAGAATGGATAAGTACTCGAGGATTTCGTCCATGCCGAAACATTTAGAGGTCCACTGGTTCTCAATAAATAATTCATGTGTCACTGTGCTTCTTCTTACTGGGTTCCTTGCTACTATTCTCATGCGAGTGCTGAAAAATGACTTCATAAGGTAAGATATGGACCTTTATGACCAGATACAAGTCTATTTGTTTATTACATTGTCTTCTTAGCTCAGCTCAGGAACTTCTTTCTGAAGATACTCTCGTAATGAGGAGTCTTCTGAGGACCAAGAGGAGACAGGATGGAAGTACATTCATGGAGATGTCTTCAGATTTCCCAAGCACAAGTCATTGTTCTCAGCTGTAATTGGATCAGGGACACAACTCCTAGCTCTGTAAGAATTGTCAACTTTCCTTTACTCCAAACGTTGAACTTTCTAATGACAACATCAAGATTTTGCTTCTCTGTTGTCACCAGTGCTGTGTTCATCTTCCTCCTTGCACTTGTTGGTGTGTTCTACCCATACAACAGAGGAGTTTTTTTCACAGCTCTTGTTGTTATATATGCTCTCACCTCTGGTATTGCTGGTTACACTGCTTCCAACTTGTATTTGCAGCTAGAAGGAACGAACTGGGTATAAGATTTGCTTAGAGATTCAAAATTTAATATTTTGATTCAGTAGAACTTCTTCTAAATCTATTTGTTCTTGTCAATTTGGTTATAGGTGAGAAATCTTTTATTGACAGGTTGCTTGTTCTGTGGACCACTGTTCTTGACATTCTGTTTTCTTAACACTGTAGCAATAGCATACAATGCGACCGCAGCCTTACCTATTGGTACTATAGGTGTCATTCTTCTTATATGGATGCTTGTGGCATCACCATTGCTAGTATTAGGTGGTGTTGCTGGAAAGAACAACAAAGTAGAATTCCATGCTCCTTGCCGCACAACGAAATACCCAAGAGAGATCCCTCAGTTGCCTTGGTATAGAGGCACTATACCTCAGATGGCTATGGCTGGATTCCTTCCCTTCAGTGCTATCTACCTTGAGCTGTACTATATATTTGCCAGTGTATGGGGTCACAAGATATATACCATATACGGCATTCTCTTCATTGTCTTCATAATCCTCATCATTGTCACGGCATTCATTACTGTTGCATTGACATATTTCCAGCTAGCTGCTGAAGATCATGAATGGTGGTGGAGGTAAAAGTTTAATCTTACTTTGTTTTCTTTTTGATGTGGAGATCATATAAAATATCAGTTCATTGCATACAATGCACCCTTATCTTCAAAAGCTATTCCAGTATTTTTATTTTTTATTTTTTTAATTTATCTAACTGTTGAATTCACTTTAGATAGATGATCATGCATAGAATGGTAGTGAAAAAGATAAATATAGATGAATTTCATTCCTTAGAGTCTAAAGGTTTTTGTTTGAGTAGATCTAAAATTGAATACATTGAGTGTAATTTTAATAGTAATAGATCTAGTGGGGGGATTGTGACTTTGGACAATCAAGTTATTAATAAGAGTACACATTTTTAGATATCTCAGATTTATTATTCATAATTATGGTGAATAGATGGGGATATTATTAGTAGAATTCAAGTTGGATGGTTGAAGTGGAAGAATGCATCGGGCTTGTTGGGTGGTAGAAAAGTAACCCTCAAACTTAAGGGAAAATTCTATAGAAAAGTATCACTCTAACTAAATGAAAAATTCTATAAGATGGTGGTGAGACCTGCAATGCTTTATGTGCAAAGCAGAATGTTGGCCATTAAAAAAGAAGCATGGTATCAAGTTAAGTATTGCAAAGATAAGGATCATCAGGTTGGATGAGTGACTTTACTCTTTGAAACAATACAAAATGAGCATATACATGAAAGGTTAGAGTAGCTCCAGTGGTAGATAAGATTAGAGAGAGTCGCCTTAGATGGTTTTGGTCACATAAAATGTCGGCCTTCCGATGACCCAATTAGGAGAGTAGATGTATTAGATTTGACTTATGTTAAAAAAGGTAGAGATAGATCTAAAAAGGATTAATGTAGCCGACCCCCGCGTAGTGGGAGAAAAGTTTGATGTTGTTGTTATAGATGAAGTTCCTTCCCTTCATCTATAATTCTCTAGTATAATAAATTTTCAAGAAAGGGGCTTTGTAAGCTATAATTTAGGAAAGTAGGGTGGATGAATTTGTAAGCTTGGAAAGGTCTCATGGAGAGGTCTGCCATGGAGAAAGAGGGGAAGAGGGAGGGAGGTTTTTGGATTCAAGATTCCTTGAATTAAAAATTTGAATGCTTGAATTAAAAACCCCTATACAATGACCCTTTATATTGAGATCATATATAAGCTAAATGATGGGATATCATCTTATCACCCATTACAAATAGGTTTTTAGTTAGGGCATGTTGCTTATCCTTTTAGCCTTTCCCCCTTATTTGATAAAAGCTCAAAAGCTAGTTAATTCCATGGAATTTGAATTATTTTCTCCTCCAATAGTGACTGGTCAAAGGTTATTGGAGGAAAATATAGTGATGCAATTTTAAAAGTCCTTGAGTTCCTCAATTTGAAAATTGAAAATATTTGCTCTCCCAAATTGGATTGGTAGGCCCCTACAATTATAGGAGTCTTTTTAGCATTTGAAATGAATCCCCCTTGATTAAATTTGTAAGCCCATCATGTTACGTACATGTAAGGTCTCTTGTCATGGACCCAATCCTCCTTCTGCACTTGACCTTAGTTTGATTTGTGCTTGACTCAAGCTTTCAATTTGAGTGGGCCAATTTGATGTTGGAGCCTCTTAGATAACATGAATACAACTAATGTTCTCTCACGAGCTTGATTCTTTTGTTGGTTTTTCTTTATGTGATTGAATGATTTAGCCAAATACCAAACTCTGAAACCATAAAACTTTTCTGGATGCAGGTCTATTCTCTGCGGTGGCTCCACTGGTTTTTTCATTCTCTTCTACTGCCTTTACTACTACCATGCTAGATCAGATATGTCTGGCTTCATGCAAACATCATTCTTCTTTGGCTACATGGCCTGCATATGCTATGGTTTCTTCCTCATGCTAGGTACTGTCGGATTCCGGGCCTCGCTGATTTTTGTACGTCATATATACCACTCAATCAAATGTGAGTAAGACTTGTTATAGTATAAATAACAGTAGATTCATATTCCATGTTTTTCCAATCTAATTACTATAGCTGGAACTACAGTGAATCAATTTCCTGTAGATCTTCCACAACCAACACTAATAGCTGGGAGTACTTTATGTTTTTTTTTAATCAACTTGATTTTTATTTGTACTATTTATCTAACTTATTTGGATCAACTTCATATTTTAAGATGATGATTTCTTCTTTGCATGTGCACAACTTTGTTCCTACTTGAGATGAATTTTACATCTTTTGAACAATAAGGCTGATTTTGTCTCTCTTTGATTGTAAAAAAAGTTTTATATCCAGTAGACTCTGAAAATCAGTAATAAGTAGTGGCTTTTAAGGATGTTAAGGTTTAAGAAAGACTTGCTGGATAATGTCCCATGACTAAGGCTTTGTTTGGGACGGCTTTTTTATTGCTTTTTAAAACGGAGTTGTAGTATAAGTTTTTTAATTTTTGTACTAAAATTTCATTTTCAGAAGCAATAAAAAAGCCGTCCCAAACGAAGCCTAAGAAGTTAAGGCTCTGTTTGGATTGAAGGAATTGAAAAGGAAATGGAAATGGAAGTTATAAAGGCAGTGGATTGATATTAGCTGGGAGTTTTCTACACCCATTTGTTGGTTGAGGAGAAATTGAGTGTTTTATTTTCTTTCTTTTTTGATTGAAGAGAATTTAAGTTCAAATTATTTATAGTTAAATTCAATTACATTGAAACCAAACAGTCGATACAAAATTGTGAAATAAATTTACATTGGCATTCTTGAGGATATATTTGGTTTGAAGAAATTGAATATTGCCTATTACAATATCACCTAAAACATGTTGTTTCTCTTAGGATATCATAGGAGTAGCTCAGCTGTGTGTGATTCTCATGTGTTTCCAGTATTCTAGAGTATTTCTTAGCTTGTTTGAAGTATATGATATATTTTTATTCAAGAAATTTGTATAAGGTTATTTAGATTTAGTTATTGAATTTATTTTTAATTTCATAAATTTGTAAAGCATTCGTCTTTATCATTTTTAAACCACAGCTCTTCTTTAAATTGTCCTATCATACAGAAGAATATTTCGAAAAAAAAAAACTTGGAGAATATTATGCTGCAGGTTTTTCCTCGTCTCACAAACGGTAAAATTGTTGGCCATTTTCAAAAGTGCTTTAATGCAATTCTGATAATTGATTGAAATCTATTATGTTTCAAACTAAGCTTAGTTTTGGCAAAAAAAAAAAAAAAATTATATGAAATTTATCAATGATGATAATTCTCCTATGGTAATTAATATCGAGACTGAATAGAAGAATATCACCAAGAATTTATGGGTCAATGATGGTATCATCAATCAAATATCATATTAGAAAGTTCAATGATTTAAATCTGGATTAAAAAAAATTTAAAATCTGGATAATTGGATCAAATTGCATGCTACAAATAAGAACAAAATAGATTTTTGGGTCGAGTTTGGATACAACCCGAAATTAATTCACATTCAAAGCGTGGGCGTGGGTGCAGGTGCGAGCACGAACACGAGAGCAGCAGTGTGCGTGCTAGCCGACTCGGGTCAATTCTAAATTGATTTTAGGTTTTTAGATTGACTCGAATTTGACCCGTTTTCCAAACAGGTTGATCAGAACTTAGACCCGTTTTCCAAACAGGTTGATCAGAACTTGGAATTTTTCTGCATTTTCGGCTCATCTCTATGTAAGATAAGATAATTTGTATATTTTAAGCTCACTTGCTAAGCTTATATTTGAATTCAGATTATAATAATTTATCTTAGAATTATCTTGTAGTTTGAAATTATCTAATTTGTTAATACATACACAAATTTTTTTTTTAAAACTTATTTAGAATTGGATAAAAATTTAGCCATGGACGATGTGCAAGCTTCAGAATATGAGGTGTACTCACGACTTGAAGAGAAATTAGAGCTAAATTAGCCAAATAGATGAAAAAGGTTATATTTCTATCTTTTATATTGGCACTTGAAAGGTGATCAGTGGTCTTACAATGATAGCAGATGGAAGTAAGGATGATCCTTAGTACATTATAAAACACCAAAATAGGACCGTCAACTTCCTTTGTAAAAGAGAAATTTGAGCTAACCAGATAGGGCCATATTCTTGACTTGAAGAGGAACTTGAGATGCAGCTCTTCTTAAAGATAATAATAAATAAATTTGAACAATATTTTGAAATATTTTAAAATGTAAAAGATATCCAAACTCAATTAGATTTTATCTTGGATTATACGAGTGAAAAGAAAAAGAATAACTGAGAAGAATGTGAGAAAATATTAATTAGATAATAATGAAAATATTTTAAATGTATTATTCTTTGTGGAAATTATTGAAAATATCTATATATTATTGCAAAAATTATAAAGTCATTGGGAGTAATACTGTTCATTATTTTTGGATTTTAAGATGAAAGAATGAAAAATAAAAAATAAAATAAAGATTATTCTAAAATTAGACGAGGGTATTTAAAGAATGCTAAAATAAATATTTTTTTAAGAGTGAAGTTCAAGATCTTAAGATATGTGTTGTTCATGATGAAGCTAATATTATGTGGTAAAAAATAATTAGTGATATGAAAAAAGTTGTAAAATATGTGCTTGGAGAATTAAAAGTAAAGCTTCTAATTAAAAAATAGTTTATGGATGGAATCAAAACGTGCAAGAAAAGATTTTAAAAAATTTATTATAAAATTGGTTTAGATATAAAGCTCAAAAAATTAAAAAAATATATATAAAATGACCTATAGTGATTCTACTAAATCAATATGTGATGCAAATACTTAATTTTTAATGAACATATTATACACTAAGGAGGGCGAACGATCTATATATATATCTTAGCCAAGCAAAGTGATATCAGAAGCAAAAATATAGTTCAAGTGAAATACATCAAAGATGAAGATCAATAAGCACTTTTCGTAAAAAAAAATATTCAACATAAGTTGATGAGATAGATCAATAAATTTTTCAATTAAGGATGTGAGAATATGATAGACTTTAATAACATTAGCAACTTTAGCGCACTTAATGAAAATAAAATTTTTATTTTAATCATTGTATTAATAAAATTAAAGTTAGAGATATTTTAAAGAAAATGAAGGGGGAACAAATGGTAGGACCTGATGATATATCAATAGAAGTAAAAATATTTAGGAGATTAAGAAGTTTTTTGGCTTCCAAAGTTTTTAATGTTATTTTGAAGACTAAAAATTATCATATGAGTGGAGAAGACATGTATTGATTTCTATTTTTAAAAATAAATGTGATGCACAAAACTGTGCATTATAGAGGAATCAAGTTAAAGTGACATACAATAAAATTATGAGAGAAAGTAACTGAGCATATGTTGTGCACGATATTAATATTTCTCAAAATCAATTTAGATTCATTCCAAATATGTGTACTTTGGAAGCTATAAATTTGTTGAGAGATTTGATAAAGTATAGAAATAGTAAAGAGAATTTACAATTGACATTGAATAAATGCTTATATTGAAGTCTTTTTTTTTTTTTTTGAACTTCATTTTGCATTTATTCAATAAGTAACAAATACAAAGAAACTAAGCGATAGCTAATCTATCACGCCCCTTCAACATATTAAAGAATGTTGAATGAAGGTTATTGTCTAATACATTCTCTCAAATAAAGTTGCGAAACATAGCATAAGATGTACAAAAGTTCGCAACCCTTATTACATTTTCTAGGAATATACTAAAAAATAACTTGTTTGAAGTCATTTAGAAATGCGATGGTTGTGTCCATATTGCCAAGATAGAGCCCATTTGAGATTATCCATATGTATATTCAAGTCATTAAGGATATGTATAAAGGAATTGTTATTTGTGTTCAAATACAAGGTCATTTGACCAAGTATTTTCCTATTTCAATTGGATTACATCAAAAATCAACTCTAAGCCTATATCTTTTTGCTTTAGTCATGGATATTCTTACTAGACATTTGTGAGGGTATGTAACTTGGTGGGTTTGTGATCAAGTCATTAAAAAGAGTGCACATTTTAGATATATCGAGTCTATTGTTCAAAGTGATGGTGCAATAAATGAGGATATTACTAGTAGAATTTAAGTTGGATGGTTAAGTGGAGGAATGCTTCATGCATGTTGTGTGATAAAGAAGTACCCCTCAAACTTAAGAAAAGATTTTATAAGATGCTGGTGAGATCTGCAATGCTTTACACTGCATAATATTGACTATTAAAAGAGAAGCATAAAATAAAGTCAAGTGTTGCAAAGATGAGGATGATCAGGTGGATGAGTGGTTTTACACTAAGAACATAATGTGAAATGAGTATATATGTGAAAAGGTTGGAGGTGGTCTAATAACATATAAGTTTAGAGAGAGTTGCCTTAGATGATTTGGTCATTAAAAAAAAAAAAAGCCTTCTAATGATCCTATTAGGAGAATGGATGTATTAAATTCAGCCTATCTTAAAAAAGGTAAAGACATCCAGAAAAAATAATAATAATTAGAAAGTATTAAATGAGAATTTAACTACTAATATAACACAATGGAGAAAAAAACTATTCATGTAGTCAAGCCTGTTAAGTGGGATAAGGACTTGTTGTACCATTTTCTATTTGTATGCCTTCGACATCCTATACTTCTTGATCGATATTTCTAACCAGCACCTCCACTAATTTTTTTTGTATTTGCTTTAGTTTTGAATAATCCACGCAGGTTCAAGGAGTACTAATTCTGCATTTTCTTATGTTGGATCCTACTGGGATCCCCTAGGAGAAGGCAATCCTTTTTTTTTTCATTTGGGCACTCCCTAAGTTGTCAACTAATAAGGGCATGACTTACCTATTCTAATTTTGGTACCATGACCTTTCAAGGCGCCTCCCATCTACGGGAAATTATTAGGTCCGGACACCGGATCTAAAAATAAGTCCGGATATTCATTTAAAAATTGCCATGTGGACTGCGCTTTGATTGCGCTTTCACTGTGCTTTGACTGCATTTTGCATGTACTTTACTTGCGTTTTACTTGCGCTTTTGGTGCGCTTGACTTAAAATTTCGCGGACACGTGTAGATTCCACGAGTCAATATTTTATTAGAGTCCATACGGATCTTTACCTAATAATTTTCCCCCATCTACAAACATTAATCTTCACCATTTGGTATTTCCTTTGCTTTTCCAGATTTTTCGGCCCTCTAAACAACAGATTTCTAGGTTTTCTCTCAAATGTTCTACCCTGTTTCTCACTGAATAGGATTTTAACGACATTTTCTCTCAGTTTCATTCTTTTATTGCAAGAACCTCGTAATAATGAAACACCTGGGCCACTTCCCAGACTCCAGCCCTGATGGTCACTACGCAGGACTTCTTCACTTGATAACCGCCTGTCGTAATAGTTTCTATAGGAAGGTCCTCCGGCGATCTTGACTAGCTACAACTTTAGGGGGATTGATCCTTGCATCTTTAGACACCCTCATGGAATTCTCTCTTTGATGTGTCAAAAAAGGCTATAGAGTTTGGAACAAAGAGATTGTTCCTCTTTTTTTTTTTTTCTTTATCATTTTTTTCTTTATGGCTAAGAATATTTCAACTATTGATCATAAAATCTAATAATAATGCAAAAAAAAAAAAAAGTTAATTGGGTTTTCTAAAGGAAAAACCTCGAGTATTATCTAAAAAAAATGCCAATCTCAATAATGATATAATAAAATTTCAGCGATTGATCATACAATCTAATAATAATAATAATAATAATAATGAAAAAAAAGAGTTTAAAATTTTTTTAAAAAGGAAAATTCTTAGGCATTACTTGCACAAAACATGTCAGTCTAAATATTGAAATAAGTACCAAAGGAGTTAACAAAATCTAGCCCAAGTACATATAAGAATTAAAATTTAATCAATATGAGTGAAATGAAATAAAAATAAATAAATAAACAAATTATATAACCTTATAAGGGTATGAATTAGGTCTAACTGTGAATATAGTAATGAAGCTATCGCGATACAGATGTAGAAACATATAGAAATTCCCTATCAAACATTGCGTATTTTATGCTAAATTAACCTAATCATAAATCAAGCAAGAGAGATGGTTATGCAGCTTTGATTTAGACCACATTAACCCTAAACTGAAACTCAAGAAAACATCAATGGCAATGGAGGTTACCATTTTTTTTTTCAATTTGTTTCGTCAAACTTCTAATCCAAGTAATCCATAGAGAAACTCTTCGAAACGCCAATATCAACCTGGAAGCCAAAGTTGCATAACATCACTACTTCATGGAAAGTGGAAACAATTGTAAGCACGAGAAGAAAACATCAAAATAGAGACAGAAAAAGTTAAAAAAACCTTCAGACTCTAGAAGCTTACCGAGGATCATCAGAAAGGACATCCGTTATTCATATTTTACTTCCTAAACAATCCAGAATCTTGAAGGGTCTTACAGTACTCAGTGATCACAGGAGATTTCTTCAACATGCCCCAAATCTTAGCAGAGTTCCTCAACCAATCACGTTCTGTCACAGGCTTTGCAAATGAATGGGGTTCCATTGATAATATCTGCGTAAAGCAAAAAAGAAGGTATGGCAGATTAGTTCGATTCTTAGAAATGCCTACAAATTGACTATAGAAATATTCTTAATTCATCTGTCAATTATATGATCAGAAAAATTCCATAGGTATTGATTATGAACCGCTCATTAAAGGTACGGGGATTTACATACAAAACACAAAATTCTTCTATATTTATAAATATAAGATCTAAATCTTTACATTTACTAGTATAACAACCTAGTGTTTAAACCACATCAAAATATATGCATGAAAAAGATGTATTTCATTTTAGATAAATTAGTGTTAGCGGTATTTTTTATGTGATTTAGATATTAGAACATTGCATGAATAAACATAAAGATTTAAGTGTTCGATATATATAACCAGTGTTCAATACATAATCAATAGTATGTTTGTAAATTCCCCTTAAAGGTATTACCTGATCACAAAGCTTTCCTATCATGCAATTGTAACTCTCATATTGAGGTTTCTGTAAGTCATCTTGAAGTTTCAGAGGAAGGAAAATTAAGTCTGCACCTATGAAATCTGACTCGTTAGACTTGTTAGCTAGAGAAGGAGAAGAATCAATTTGCTCCTTTTTCAATTCCCTTGACTTGTTTATATTGAATGCTGATGAGCCGAAATACTTCAAAAGAGCCTTCCTCAACAGCATAATGTTTGAAGGAGAAGGCTCTAGGTCCCGCAATCTGCAGTAAGGAAAAAGAGTTTCTGAAAAATGATGAATAACGTAATGCTTAGTAGATAGAATGGCAGGAGAGAGTATCATAGTTTTAACTCTTCATAAAATCAGAATTGGGATGAGCGATTTAAAAATTTAATGTAAAGAAACTAAACAAACAGAGTTTCAGAATTCAATATAAGATTTAGCTAGAAATCCTGAAAATTAAATCAAATTTGTGCTTCATGAAACCTTTGAACTATTGCTCAACTAAAGTCCAATTATGATTGGATGAGAAGCTGCGCTGCCTGCGCTGGAGCACAGGCCAACTGTGGTTTGGATCAAACTCCACTAGATCTCAAAATGGTAATGAAGATAAAGAAAATTTTTAATGAGCAATTGGATTTAAATTGACAAAAAATTTGAATAAAAAAATTAAACTAACTCGTAAAGGAAATATAAACAAACTTTCCTATGGATAGATAATATATGCTTATGGAACACTATATCATCCTTCACTGTTTGAAAGAGAGGTCGGTAACAGTTATTTTTGAAATACCATGTAATTACCTACAGGTAATGAAGCGAGTTGAGAGATAGTAGTTCTGGCAGAATAAAAGGAGAAGAAGTGTGGGGCTTCAAGGACCACGAAATGAAAGAAGAGTGAGTTATCACATAAACTTACTCATCTTTAATATAGTATTGGCACCGATGTTTGAAATTAAGATAAAGACGCTCTCATTACTTTCTGGCCCCTTAGGCGAGACACTCGCTTAAACGTGTCTAGTAATGGCATCTCCTTGAGATTTTCATGAAATGTTATCATTTGGAATGGTCTTAGTATCTCACTCAAGCGCCTAGGTAAGCACCAATTCATCTTTTAACAACACGAGTTGTGGTGGAGCATTTAAATGATAAATGAGCTTAAAGACTAACTGTATACCCATTTAGGCACATGCCCATAAACTATGATGCACAAACACGAATATGACACTACACGAACATGGGACACGTCAATTTTTTAAAATATAGGACATGGACATGGATTGAACACGGTATTATATTTTTTATATCTTAAAAATAGTGTATAGAAATTGAGTAAGCAAAATATTAAGAACAATTAAAAAATAATAAATCATTTTACTAGGCTTTGTGTTTAAAATAATTAATATTAGGATGTCATGAGTTGGGCATTGATGTCGTGTTTCAAGTGTTGAGAGGGGAGACGACAAAGCTATCAAGAGTCTAGCATCGAGCGTCGATATCAAGACAACATCGATCATCTATGTTGAGATGATGTCAGTCAAAGATGAGATGTTGAGACGACGCGCGGGAGTGATTGTGGGATAGAAATTGCTAGTTTCAAACTTTGATTTCAGATGGTTTTGAACATTGATGTTATAACAATGTCAAACGTCGATGTTGCGATGACATCGGGCATTGTTGTGAAACCCTAGCTACGATATGCAAATAGAAATGAAAATGATATGTTCGGGTAATGGGGTATTAAGTGCGGACAATTGATTTGATGTTGAGAGGAAATAAAAAATTGAAATTTTATTTTAAATAAATAAAAATATATGAAAAAAATTTCATAAAATATTTAAGACATGCGTGTCCAATTTATTTTTAAAAATTTTTAATTGGATATGTCTTAAGCATATTCGATACGTATCGGAGCAGTGTCAGACACGGTCATGTCCGATAAGTCTCGGACACCGCATACCTCATTGAGGAGAAGTATTGGTACATCATAGTGCATCAATAATAATGTTTAATCAATAGAAACAAAGTCAATTTCAATCAACATTAAAATCAAGCTTAACTTGAATAAAAAAGATTAATTTGAAGTAATTATTTTTAATTAACTTAACCCAACTTCATTAATTAAAAAAAATCCTAAAATATAAATTGATATAGTGATTATATTTATGAATCTTACAATTTCTAGACTTATTGATCCAACTTTAAGCTTTCTCATTTATACCCTTCTTAGCTAAATCCAGTCTCCGCTATCTTATATTCAAGAACTATGACTCATTATCTCTCAAATAGAATAACTTCTAACTCTGCCATTCCTAATTGTATCACAAGTTCATCTAACATTTTCATTTCTGTCACACTCAACTAGGTTGTATGTGACATTTGTTACCCAAAACATAGATCCTTATAGCATAAATGATCTCATAATATTTTAATGAAATTTACTTTTTAAGTCTTCATGATATTCCTAATAATCTTAAGCATTGCACATTGATACATCTTCATTTTTCTGTATTATAGAGGATACCATCTATGAATGTAAATCTTATAAAACTGAAATGATATGAATTAGTTAATGAAGATATGATATCTTTCCTTTTTTCTTTTTTTTTTCTTTTTGGTCGAGAGTAAGCTTTAGTCTAGGAAACCATCTCAAGTCGGGAGGAAGCTCTAGAAAATTTACGATAGCACCGCAAAGTATGAGTAGAACAAAACTACTAATTCACTTCAAACACATTACATACAATAAATATCATAAAGTTGTAGAACAAAATTTGAATGACGCAAGAAACATGAGAAGAAACAGTTACATGACACTTACTTGGTATGAATGAACACAAGAGTTGCTAGATACTCGTTATTTGGAGCTCCATATTTGCTATTATTCTCTTTGTCCTCTACAGAAGTAGAACCCTGGGGTTGACCAGATGTAAGAGTGGAGGGATCTGGTATATTATGCTTTAGCAAGTCCACCTATTATACAGGCATTATTTGCAATAGGTCAGACAAAACTGAACTACTGGATTTAGAATAAAAAAATGGCTTCTAGAGAGATACTTTCATGATAACTGGGAGCAAAAGGCAGCTATGCACTAGCTCATAAAGGACACAAAAGAAAACTTGCAAGTTCTTGAAGTTGGTAGAAGAAACACATTGAATTTATTCCAATTGCTTCATATGATAATTTAAGGAAAACCATTAATCACAAATCTGACAACAAATTTATGCCAAAATAAATTGTTTATCACATAAGCTCATTTAGCCCATGTGTGACTCATACTTGTTAACGGCGAGTGGCGCACCATGGCGCAAAGGTCATATTTGAGCCATGGCGCATAGCGCACGGCGCGGTGCGTGCCATTTTGAACCTGACGCAAATTATAAAATAATAAGCATGAATATGAAATATCATTAAATTGAAAGACAAATTATCATCATAACAAGCAAACAATGACAATACAAAAAAATAACAATCCAACATAATTTCAAGTCCAATAAGTAGTCAATCTTCATACAACTAAAATATATTTAAATTAAAGCAAATGACATTAAGAAGATAATAATATGCAATCTAACATTTATCTTAATACTTTTAATATATTTAAAAATTAGAAAATATATTATCTTAAAAATAAAAATAAATATGAAAATATTTATAATTACATTATAAAAAAATTTAAAACAAATGGCGCGCGCTATTTTGCGCCGTGAGCCATGGCGCGCATGTGGCGCAAATAGCGTGCGCCATTTTGAACGTTTGCACTGCGCCATACACATGGCGCCGCAGGTGCGCCGCACCGCGCCGTGCATCATGGCGCGCGCTATTTTGCGCCATTGACAACTATGGTGTGACTCATTATTGATTTGATTATAAAAAATATTATATAATGTCATCCAATAGATACAATTCAAGATGAAAAAACCATGAAATCTTGATTTGAATTGATCATAATTTCCCTGTCATCTGCTCTAAGTAGCAAAATATCTTTTTTCTCCCCTATCCAAAGTAGCAAAATATCTATTTTCTCCCCAATCCAAATCATTATAAGCCAGCCCAAATAGAAATCCATCTCAACAAAATCATCATAGAGCCTACAAATTAGCCCTAATCTAAAATTCTCTCACAATTGAAGGGATAATTAAGCACGAGGGAAACCTTGTACCAAGAATATAAATTCCTCTATGACGGTGAAATCTCTAAATAGTGTTTTATCCGCACTTTCTACTCTCTCCCTCCTGAAAAATCAACCCACAAAATTCATATGCTGCAAAGCCGAGAAAGGATCTTTCAAAGCTCAAAACTCTTAGCAAAAATATATAGTCAGGCTATCTTAGGTATAACCCTCTTTCTTCTTCATACTTTCACATCCATTCTACAGGCATCTTATTATTACACTTGCTACTTGTTGAACAATCTCAAACCAGCAACATCATTTTTTCTGCTACTGTACCTTCAGTAAGTACTACTTTCACTCATCTGTCTAATATAATCTTAAATATATCATTACTACAACAAATACATTTTTTTATTAATAATAAACAAAACTTTTAGGACACATGTATAAACAAGTGTCGCATAATTTAAGATTCAAGCAAAAACTTAATTGCCTATAAGAGGGAGTGAGAGGCAAAGAGGGAATGAGAAGGAAAGAGAGAGCAAGAAAGAGCGAGGATGAGATAGAGAGATTGGCAGCTCCAATGAGTTCTAGCGAAAATGCACGCAAGGAAGCATGCGAGCAACCTATCATATAAGTAGCTGAGAGCACAAGCCATTGCGTGTGAGGCCGAGGCCAAGTGAGCACGTTCAAGAGTGAGGCCAACCAGCTGAGCATGCTTTGACAACATCATGTATATAAGATGTCAATTTTTTGTGCCAGAAGCTAGGGTTTTCTTATTTTCCATCTTAAAGCCAAAAGGTAATCTACCTTTTACATTTTGTGGATCCTAAATCTTATTTTTAAGACAACAATAATTCATAGGGTTTCTATAAGAAGAAAAAGAAAAAGAAGAAGAAGAAGAATATATATAATAAAATAAAGGTAAAATTTGAATGTCGTGCTTAGCATATTTGAAATAAAATTGAAAATCTAATAGTTTAATTATAATACAAATTATCCTAGAGATTTTAAAGATTAATAATAACTTATAAAGGAAAGGAAAACCTAAATTTTGATTTATGTATGAAAAAAAATATAACGAGATAAATTGTAGTAAAGAAAATATGTATATTACGCTCAAATGAAATTAAAATTTAAAAGCTTAACGATAGTAATTTGTTAATTATTAAGCAAAATTCTAAGTCAAATATTTTAAAGATTAATTTTTTTAGCATGATTTAGATAGTTAATAAAAATATTTAAAATAATAATAATAACATATAATTAACTTAAAAAATGTAAAAAGAAATTTTTAGGAATCAATCAAAATAAAATTCTTGCAAAAATATATTAATTGTGGAAATAAGTTAAAGAAAGTAGAGTTTTAAGGATTTAAAAGCAAACGAATCTTTCGACCAAAGTGATAATTATGTTTCTATTTTTTACTAATAATTTGTATTACTCTAAACATAATTCATTGATTGTTATGGCCATTTTTATGAATTGAGAAATGTTCTCATTAATTTCAAACTAATTAGGGATGGAAATGAACCAAATGTTTAACAAGCTATTCCGCACTCAGCTCAAGTGTAGGTCATTTATGATCGTTTCACTTACCAATCAAACAAGCTTGAATATTTTTTTTTATAAACTTGATTGTTAAATAAACATGTCTGAACAGATATTTATTCGACTCGTTTAAGTTCATGAATAATATCATTTGAATCTCATGAACATGCTTGAAAGAATCTTGAAAAGAAGCTTGATTCATGTTCGATATGGAGATTGTGAACAAGCGCATTTAAAAACTCGATTAACGTACAATACGTAACTCAATTAAGTACATTATGACATATGATAATGAAGAACAACTTAATTTGAATACTTTATTTCTATTATAATTTAATCACATAAGCAATCATTAATTAGTAAAAATTAAAACTAATTAAAAATTATAATTTTGAGTTTGGAACTAAACATATTTTTAAAGATTTGCTTAAATCTTTATTTAATATATTTTCAAATATTATTTCTTTTATTATAATAAATTATTATTATTTTATAAAAATTTTAATTTCATTTTTAATGTTATACTCTTATACTATAATGAATTTATTTGTGATTAATATGTATTTATTCATGTTTGTTGGATTTTGTTTATTGTGTTCATGAACATGATCGCTTATAAGAAGAATCATTTTTTAAGCTCGTTAATTTGTGAACATTCTCGTTTGGTAGCTTGAAAATACTTGCTAAATATGTTTATGAGTAGGTTCTAGGTAATTGTTTGTTAGTAGACTCGATAATGCTTGTTTATTAAGTGAGTACACATCTAGAAAATAAAGCTCATTAATAGTTCGATAAACCGAACACAAACCAAACATGACATTTATTATTTTAAACAAACCAAACTTTGAGCACAAATAGAAAAGCTCGAACCAAGCTTGAACATGCTGATAATAAATGAGCTTAAAAATGAACAAGCATTTTCTCTGCTCGATATAGGTCGATTTGTTTGCAGCTCTAAACTAATATTGTGAATGTCTAAAGTGATTTTCTCTTTCTTATTGATGAAATCCTCATATTTATATAAATGCCACCCAACGATCTTCATATTTGAATCCTAGTTATTATTTCTTGATATGAGAAGCAAATGCATAAATTAAAAATAAAAGCATGATGATAAGAATATAAAGAATATGTTATATAGGAATGAATGCATGTGGATGTTGAATAATAGAGTTCACTCTTTTAAAACACTGACTGAGAATGATGTATCAACCCCCAAGGGCTTGTTTAGAAAAAGTTAAGAGATGAATGTGCCTTTAATGACACAAATATAGAAGGTACTACAATGATGAGTATCTTAAATTATAAGATAAGATATAAAATTTTATAATTTAAAAAAAGCTAATATATGATAATTTCTTTGTCCACAATTGAGACAATTATAAATGCATTTTATTTAATGCCCATGAAAAAATCAATATGTTATGAGTGAACATGATGGTCTGTATGCATAGTCATCTAATTTTTAAATTATTATGGTTTAAAAATATAATTATCTATTGAGTTATTTAACTCACTCCTATTAGTTGATAAATATTTTCAAGAAAATCTCCTTTAACTTAAATGAATAAAAGAAGAGAGTTCATACACAGCAGAAGAATAACCACCTAAGTTAGGTATAGTAAAAATCATATGTACTAGTTTGTGTTTTTGAAAATATGTATTCTGAAAGCAAAATGAAAAAGATTGGTATATTTTTTAAAATGCTTATAAATAAAATTTTACGATTTAGTTGGCTCTTCTAAACTGGAAGATTGTGGTAGATAATGTAAAGTGAAAGTGTTTATTAAATTTAAGTTTGATCATCTGTCCCCACCTAGGTATTCCAAGCTTTTGAGCCAGGTCGTGACAATTATTCTAATTTGCAACATTTATCCTAATATTCTCATTTTAGGACACACCTAAATTGATGACATTTTCTCCTTTGTAGTCAACACTTACCATATCATCATTTACTGAAAAACATAATGGCGCAAGTCCTGCAAAAGTGAGCATGCATGCAAATGGTGTAATATGTAAAAAAATGCACTTATCTTCTAACCCAAACACAAAAAAAGCAGCCACATAAAACCACACTTCCAAGACCATACAATAAAAAGAATTGCTACTTCAAAAGAATTGAAAGTTCTTTTGAATCTCATGAAAAGTATCATTAAGGTTATCGGTATAAAAAATAGCATTGACAATGATACTTTTGTATAATGCTTACCGTAAGCATATGCTGCCACATGCTGAAGTCATGAATTCCTTCTGATACAACTAACAATATGTTGCATATGGAAGCCAGGAAAACACCAAGCTATAAAGATTCTTGCATATATGAAAAGAGAACAAAGTTAGATCAGATACTTCCAAATATTGAACCTGCATGTAAAATTGAGAGCATCAAATTCTATTTTTCCCGTAAATAACCTGTATTCCCATTAACTCATGAGCTAGATCAGCTGATAGAGACTCCCCATTTAGCACAGAAATTGCAGAAGTTCCATCAGGTCTCATCATATCAACCAAAACAGAGGGGCTGAATATTGGCTGCAAATGACAAGCAGTCGATGACAATGTGAAATCTGATAAAGCATGAGATTGAAAGAACAAAAAAACCTAGTCAAAGCATGTCAAACTTAATATTTTGCAGCAGCTAAAGAGCCCATGATTCCATGGGCTATTGGCTAAGGATGTTCTGCCTGTTGAAACAACTAACCTATGCTTTCAGTACCTTTTCCTTCCTCCCAATTACTTTGTTGGTGATTTGGTTATTTGATAGTTACTACTTCCTTTTTCTAATCCCAGATATGGAGGTTCTATTCTTTCTTTGCTAAGGGGATACTCTTTCCAATGTATTCTTTCATTTTTTTTTAACCTGACAAATTGCATCAAAGACAATAACCTAAAGAACCCAATAACCCCCGGAGAAAAAACATGGTCATAATTGACGACCAAAAACAAAAGCATTTGTCAACATGATTATCATGATACTGCGACATCAAGATGTCAACAAACGAGGCCATCGTGTAAATTAGTCAATGATAGGAAGAAATATCTTCATGGAGATACTAATGAAGGTTTATTGCATTCTGTAACACTTGGCATGCAATTAGTGATCACTTCCATCAACATATCATCAGTCACCAAAGGCTATATGTTGGAATCATACAGCTGCCAAGACCCCCATGGCTTCACCTGACAAGCCCTTTCTGAGTTGTCACCATTCAAGGTGGTGAGGAAGGGTCAACTAACCAATCAGACCCAAGATGTTTGAAAGCATCATTTAAATCCCTTGGAGAGACGCATCAATGTCCAATTTAGAAGTTTAAAGAGATTCCCTAGCTATTTGGTTCCTTGATGCCACTGCAACTAGTCGACTCATCTCGAGATAGCTTAACTAATTTGTCAACAGCAAGTAGGCAATATATCTCGCTACCACCTTGTCATTGTCAATGTTGCATTAAGCCGACAGCCCTCAATCCCACTGCCAATTTAGGTCAAAACACTTCACTAAGTATCATCACCTGCAAGTTGACCTGGTCAACCCTCAAGAGATGACAACTAGGTGCCTCACAAGGGGACGAATTGTCGTCTCCTATAGGACAATACCTATCAACTCACCGTGAGATGGCTTCTGCGTAACCCACCAAAACTGAGCTAACTTCTCCAAAACTTCTCACAGACCATAGTTGGGATATTCACTGTCAACTATCAAATCTGTACTTTCTACTGTCTATCAAGGCTGACAACCCAAGGTCCCATAAAAGACATTATTTGCTCCAGAGTAATAATGACTTCACCAATGCCTTGGCGCCTACCCTTAGTTTAAACCATTAGCTTGTCGACCTATCATTTGAAGGCTCTCTATCAAATGGCTTTTGATCTTATTCAACAACCTTTATTGTTTAAACTAAGCCAATAGGCCAAGTAGAGATCCTTAGGGGAAAAAAAGTTAATATTAATATAAATAATTTGAAAATCAATGAGATAAGCCTATAAATTTTAATAATTCAGGTCATGCTTAGTGTCTATGTTGTTTGGGCTAAAGCTCTTAGAAAGTTGGATAAAAGACTGAGAAGGTGAGATTTTGTGATATTTAATTATATTGTTTCTTTTTATCTCACATGCACTCTACTTGTTGCTATCATAGAAATACTTGGAGATTTGTCACATTTTTATCATATAAAATGCTCGTGATCGTGCATTCACAATTGCACAATATTTATTTCTTTCCGAGACATCATGCGCTAGTTTCCTCCAAAAACTTTTAAAAATAAGATTTACAAAATATTTTTGAATTCCTCAGCCATTAAACAATCTTTCTATTAAAAATCCTAAAATTAAACCTTCTTCAGTATGACTTTGCAAGGGAGTGGTATCATAGTATAAGGTTGCATACCTGAAACCTCCAAGTTACAAAACTTGGACTTGGTCAACCAGAGTCAATCAATGCATATTTATATTACATACCATGAGATCTGTGAGCATGTAGGATTACAATAATGTTGCACTTTTTCATTACATAATAAACTCTCATGTGCATTTGGGTCATACTGCCTATAGGGCGAGGTTTTATGACCCAACCAATCTTGCATGGTATAAAAATTTAATGGAGATTTTTATATCCATTTAAGTGGAATAAGAAGGCATATATTGTTCAAAGAGCATTAGCATATTATCACTCTTTGTGCTGCCATTTTCCCGTGATTAGGCATTCAGGATGGTATTCAACTAGTTTTAAGTCCCTTCTTCCTTGGGCATTTTCGACTGGATATTTAAGAAAACATAAGTATACCTTTCATGGGACAACTTACATTATCATCCTCGACGGCGGAGTTTGAGTTATTTTACCCATTGTCAAGCTGTCCTCATTTTTTAGATTATAAGACCCACATTTTCTACTACATCATAGTTTGTTATTATATTCATTCGCAGTTATCCTTCATGTTTTTGACCACTCAAAGCCACACTCTTTTACAATATGAAAAAAGCTTAAAATCCCTTGAATGCTAATTGGGAAAACAAATGAACATCATTAATCGAAAAACCTCTCAAACATCTTATTCGATATGTAATTAACCAGAAGGACATACTCATGAGAATCAAAACTCGAAAACTAAATAAACCTTATTTTTAAGGAAAATAATTAGGATACATGTTTCATTTGTCTTTCACTAATTTCCATACTTGTAAGAACGCTCTATGATCGTTTCTTGCTTTATCAGAAAAGCAACTTCTAGTCTTGATGTCATGAGTCTCTCTAGAAGCCCAAACTTAACACATTGTGCATTAAAAAGAGCTAGTGAACTTTAAGATTAGATCTAAGAAGACTTGAGCGTGGTTGATAATAGTAAAGAAGAGTTAAGTGAAAGAATTGATCTCTCCAGATATCTTATCAAAATATTTAATTTCTCAAATAAATTGAGTGGAGGCTCTCAAGAAACTCGTAGATGCATTTTTTGATATATAATTAACAACAAAATCATTTTGAATTATTCTGAAACATCATTTATTATGCAATTTTTAATGAAGAAAGGGGCTTGCACACAAAATTTTTGTTCTAAAAATTGGCATTTCATACATATAGACTTGTGGAATTACATTAGACTCAACATAATCCCTTCATCACGAATAATGAAATAAAATTATAGGTTTTTGCTTGTTAGAGAAACTACATTATGTATTTTTGGTATAAAAAATCTTGCTCTAAATGTGAATTGCATACAAAATTTCCCGGCATGTGTTGTCAGTCATTATGTATTTACACTATTGATCATCCAGTAGGTATGAAGAATTATTCTTATGTGGGGGCTCCTGGTTTGCAATTATTTAGAATTCAGAGATATCTAAAATGCAATGTAAGATAAATGCAAGAAATTTGAAATAGTCACGGTTGTTTGGTTGGATTGTAAAATAAACTTACGATATCACTTTCTTGTATTTGGTTGGAAGTAAAGTGAATTTAAATTTAAAATAAATAATAATAAACTAACCTAGAGCAGGACACCAATAGGGGCAAGGGGCACGTATGGGTTGCAAAGACGAGGTCGGAGGTTGCCAAAGATAAATGGGGTCAAGGTCTTGGCGATATATTGTGTGGAGGCTTCAAGGGTGGTAAACATTGTTGATTTGGAAGTGTCGCTGAAGAGGGAGTAGGTGTGGTCTCGACGATATCACATGTAGAGGATTTGTGAGTGATGACCGTAGCTAATGAAGAGACTTCGCACGAGTCAGGTTGTGGTGCAGAGGCATGAGGGGATGAGATCGAGCAAGGGAGGAAGAAGTTAAAAATGCTCCTTTGTGTGAACACTGTTAATACATCCAAACATACGTTGAAAAGTTTATATTCATTCCTATTCCAAAGAAAATTAAATGACAACTAAAGCATGGAATACAATATTTATATGATTGACACCTAGGTAGGTATCAAGAACTATTCTTATATAGTAAAAATATAAGTAGCATGCAAATATACAATTTAAGTCACAATCTTAGATTTTCTTAATGAAATAAAAAAAAATCAATAAAACGAACAACCAACCTGTGCATCCAGTAGTATATATCTTTCAGAAGAAACCCTTAATTCAACACCGGTGGTACAGTGCTTCGACATCGCTCTAATTTCATCAGATTGTGTTGTAAAAGGAGGCAACATTCCTGACAATGCATTAATTGTATACAACTTGCTGAAGTCATAATAGAAAAAGGTTGATAAGGTGATACTACTAAAGCAAAATAAGTAAAACCCTAGTTTTAAGAGTTAGTGTTTTTGTGTAAAACATTTCTCAAGTAGAAATTAAATAGCTGTTACCATAACATATAACAAAATATTTCTTTATTTGGTTAATAGCTTATAATGGATGAGTAATCAATTATTAGTGACTTGCTGTGGAAAAATTAACCATAAATATCTTTTAACTAGCATCTTATTAATTTATTGTTCACCATCAATAATCTAATTTCCATCAATGTTGAATTCTTACATAATAAATTTATAGGCTACCAAATAAAATTATAGATTAAATTTAAAATTAGCGAGTTAAATTAATCAACTATCAAGCAGATTTATAGATTGCCACAACATTAGTTAGCTTAATAGCAAATTAGATCAATCAGCTCGAAGATTTACTTGTATTTTCACATATATTCTCTTACACTTGTATAAAACTATTTGCAAGAAATCAAACAGTACATCTACTCAATGCTTAAAATCTTAGCTTGTCAATTAGCTTATTAAATATACAACCAAATAGGCTGTTAATCTTATACAAAACAAAACAACCCTAAAATTTAGCCCCCTCCAGCCTTCTTGCATTTTTCTATTTGTATGAAAAAATCAAACATCTAAGCCAACGTTCCTGAACATTGAATCAAGTGGTTATTATGTGATGTTATGTTATGAGTGTGCATTACTTGATTGGTTCGTTGGCAACTTTAAATAGCAATATCCTAAATGGTATTTAATGGGTTATTTGGGTCGATGTTTTCTTTTGTAATTTTCTATGTTATTTATGAAAATAGGCATTTAGTTTAACAATATCTCTCACAAATAACCTCTGTAGCTAATGTTGAGATAATATAAATAACAAAAAAATTAAATGCTATCTAGATTATCTCATTTTTTATCGCCAATAAGGATAAGAAAATAATAATATAAATCATAATCATCGTTGATTATTTTAAATAACATTACATTTTTTTTAAGTAAGATAAACATTAAACAAAACACATTACATTTAAAAGACGCCACTGCAATATGAATAGCATTGATGTTTAGATAATGGTACCATGTAAATAACATTGAACCAAACAAGACCCATAAGTCCAATGTTAGTGTCATCTAGATATCTGGAAATTTTACTATCATGCTATCAATCGACTAAAACAAAAGACAGCAAAGTGAAATATCATATAAATCAATGAGTTTTCTAGATAGCATGGATATTTCAAGTAAAATAACATTGAACCAAACAAAATTTATTTGAATCATTAGTATCTACAATAAAAGTAAACCAAACAAGTTAAACAATAAACTAAAGGATATAACCCAAAAAACATACGAGTTCCATCGCAAATAAAGTACCTGGGGAGTTTCCATCAAAGCCATACAATTCATTCATGATTGTCGACTTGCCTACGCCAGGAGGACCAATAATGCCAACGACGGTGAAATCAGTATTCTCGGTAAGAAACTGCATATACATATCAAGAAAAAAAAACCCGATCATTTGGGGCGATCCGAGTATTAGGGTTTTGAATCCAAATTAAACCACAGGAAAGAAGAGCAAGAGTACTGGGAGAATCCGGTCAATGTGGACGTCCCAGGACTCGGAAATGAGGCTGAGCGATCCCGGCTGTGCAGCGTTGCGAGAACGGATGACCACAGCGGAGGGATCGTCGTCTCGACCTATTCTGGAGGAAGCGGCTCCGGATGCTGGTTTCGCGAGCAGAATCTTCTGCGGAGGCGGAGGTGGAGGGAGGCCTAACGAAGAGGATGCCGGACCCGAGGAGGAAGCGGACGGAGCGCTGGTAGCCTGCGGCCCGACGCCTGCCATTAAAACGAAATGCTTTCTTCTGTACTGGTTAGCTGCGCCAGAGCAGAAAGAACCTTTCTTCTGGTCTTGAAGTTTTTTTTTGAAAGTGCTATGACTTATGATAATATAATTTTTTTTTTTTTTTAATTTTTGTCAACAAAATTTTTCAGTTATCATATTTAAAATACTAATTATTAAAAATTTGAATTTATGTCTCATAATATTTTTAAAATTGAAGCAATCTATTTCTTATATCATTTTCCTAACAAAATTTATACTACTATTATAAAAACCAATTGAATTTTCTCCCAAATATAATTCTAACCTTTTATTTTAATTATTCAAGTAGAATCTTAACCATTCATTTTATTATATTATATTATTATTACGATCGTAATTATTATTGATATATCAGTAAAAAATTATCTTGATCAGGCACAAATCTCAAAGCAAAATCATTTCTTCTGTACTGGTCTTGAAGTTTTTTTTTTTTTTTTCCAAGTGTTATGATAATATAAATATTTTATTTTTAAGTTTTTTCAACAAATTTTTTTAAGTTAGAATATTTAAAATATTAATTATAAAAATGTTGAATTTATGTCTCATAATATTTTTAAAATTGAAGCAATATATTTGATATATCATTTCTTAAGAAAATTTTATAATGCTATTATAAAAGTCAATTGAATTTTCTCTTAAATATAATTCTAATCTTTTATTTTAATTATTCAAGTAGAATTCTAACCATTCATTTTATTATATTATATTATCATGGTCAATTGATACTTTTAATCATAATTATTATTTTATTAATATGCAATTATTTTCCATTTACAACTCTTCCACTATTAAATTATGCTAATAAATTTTCGAGTATCATAATATGAAACTCATCTTGGTCTTTTGGTTAGGAGTTTTTACTAAAAATTAAGAGGTCTTAGATTTCAGTCTCGCATGTGATGTGTGTCTGAGTTTCTCTTAATTGACCGGTCCCCCCCCCCTCTCCCAAAAAAAGTGTGGTTATGCCTTACTAATTAAATTATGTGAAATTACATCTCGTGTCGGCCATCATATTTGCAACCCAATTTCGTATCTTTGCCTATTCGTATACCCTAATTTTTCTTCTTCCCCTCTTTGCCTTCTTCCAGTATCTTTATTCGAGTTCTTTCGGGCTCTTAAACTTTCATAAGTGTTCATCTTCTATAAATGTTCAATTTTAACTGATAAAAATATCTTCGATTATTTATCTTCGCCTCTTCATTTTTTTGGTTTTTTGCTTGTTTCTTCTTGTCTGTCTATTCATATACTATCTTTTAATTTCTAAGTCCTACATTAAGTCATTAACCTCTTCACATTTCTGTGTATAAACCTCTTCAGCTCCCGATTTTGACAAATAAAATCAAAGAAACCTCTTCAAAAATATTATTGTAAAAATTCACGTGTTTCACACTTTTGCTTTAATGGTAGAGGGGGATCTTGTCTAGTGTGGGGAGATTTTTTCTCTACTAGGGTTTCTTGCCACCATTGATTTTGTTCTCTTCCCGTTGTCCCCCCGGGGGCTCCTCCCCCATGGCCGACTCCTTTTTTCCACCCCTCCCATCCTCCTTACCTCATGTCTCCACATCTGTTGTTGCCTCTCTGTTGGACTGAAAAAAACCTTCTTGAGACGACCCCACAAGTCTCCACGGAGTTTTCACACTCTCTAGCTTTTGTCCCCACACAAAACCTTACAACTCAGTTTACTAGTGAGGAGTTCCACGCTGGTGCCCCTGAGTGGTCGCTCTCGCTAGTTGGTTACTCTGTCGGCAAACGGCCGTTCAATGAAGCCCTGCTATCTACAATCAAAAAGACTTGGCAACTCAAAGGAGACTTTTCCCTCCTAACTATGGACGAAGGTTTCTTCCTTCTGAAATTTACGGCGGTTGAAGACTATGAGCATGCCTGGTCTGGAGGCCCGTGGGTTTTCTTCGGCAAGCCTTTCATACTTCAAAAATGGAGCCCAAATTTTGTTCCTAAGCACGAAGAGTTCCCGTCGATACCCCTCTGGATCAAGATCATGAACTGTCCACTCTCTTGCTGGACTCCCGAAAGTATCTGTAAACTAGCTAGCTGCGTTGGTATCCCTCTAGCTGTTGATGCCCTTACTACTGCAAAAACTCGCCTTACCTTTGCGAGAGTCTGTGTGCAAGTTACTAGCTCCTCCATCCTCCTGGATGAAATTTTCTTTTATGTTGATGGTAAAACTTCCTCGCTTCAAATCCAATACGACTGGAAACCAGAATATTGCTCTCAGTGTGGTTCCATCATGCACCCTCCGTCCCTGTGTCCTAAAGACCCTATTCTCCCTCCTACCAATATCCCCAGGACTAGAGGCCGAAGCTCCAGTCGTAAGCCTCGGTTTACCCCGCCCCCTCGTCTTATCATACCAAAGCCAACACCCCCTACCAAATTAAATGACATTCCCTCCAACCCACCCTTACTCTCCAACCTGCCTCTTGGAACCCTAATACCAACCTAAACTCCCCCTCTGGTGAACTTACTGAACACCCACCATCCTCCCTTCCCCACCACTCTTCCCCTCCTCTTAAAGACCCTCCCACAATTAAAACCAAAAACCAATTTGAAGCTCTTTCAGACACTGAGAGCACAGAACAACCTCCCACTAAAGCCCAAATTCCAAACACTACATCAAACCTCTCTAATCCTAACCACAACACCCACCTCACACCTCTCCTAGAAACCACTAACCCAACATTCCAAATAATAATGACCTACCCACTTCATCTTCTACCTCAGACACTACAAAAACCCAGCAAATTACACAGCAAACTCAAAAGCAAACTAGAGGCAAGCAGCCCAAAAAGGCCTCTACCCCAATCCGTGGGTTTAACAACGCTAACAAAGTCTTATGCTGCAAAAAACTAGCCCGAAAACATATCCTCGACATCCTCTTCATTTTTTAAGCTAAAATATCCATTACCTCTCTTTCCAGCATTGGTTTCAAGCCAACCACAGAATTTTCCCCGTGGAAGACTCTTATCGCAGTTTTCATCTCTCTAATCCGGGACGTATATGGATTAAGTGGAATGTCAATACTGTTACTTTCATTCCTGAAATGACCACTAATCAGTTTATTCATGGCACCATTTCTGTCGCCTCTAAACCCATTTGTGCTATCACCACTGTCTATGCTAGTAACTCTCACATTGAAAGGCATCTTTATGGGACAATATACAGAATATTGCGGGCACCACTGCCATTCCATGGGCCATCATTGGTGACTTTAATTGCTGTCGTTACCCTAATGAAAAAACTGGTGGTAACTTGCTCAACAACACTAAGCTTGGTGATTTCAATAGACTGATTTTCAGTTCTGGCCTTCATGATCTCTCTTCTATTGGGCATTACTTTACTTGGCACAATCAAAAATCGGGTAACCCCATTCACATCAAACTTGACAGAGTTCTTATTAATGATGCTTGGTTGGTTGCTTATCCCAACTCTTATTATATTGTGGGTGATCCTAACAGCTCTGACCACTCACCTCTTATCTTATCTAATGATCACAATGGTATGAAAGGCCACCGTTTCATGTATAAGAACTATTTCTCTAGTAAGCCGGAATTTTGGGATTGTTTGATCCAAGCTTTCTCTCAGGCCAATAACAACAGTCCTCTTTGCTCCTTTTACAACAAGCTCAAAAGCCTCAAGAATCTCATCATGCATAAAAATTGGACTAACTCTTCAGTTATCAAGAATGAGATCGATTCTCTTACCTGTCTCCAAAATCAAGCTATCACTAAACTCCAAAGTAACCCGCTTGATAGTTCTCTCAACTCTGAGCTTAATAGCATTAATGCTAAACTTTCTTACTACCATGCCACCCTAACCAGTTGGATGTCTCAAAGGGCAAAAGTTAGATGGCTTACCGATGGAGAAGATGACTTAAAATTCTTATTCTCTAAAATTAACATCTCCACCAATCATAACAGGATCAAGGAAATTTGCACTAATTCTGGTTCTATCTCTGTCTCCTCCCACCAGGACATCTCCAACATTTTCATTAACCATTTTTCTAAGCTCTTCAATATCCATAATCCATCATCCCCCAATTTCAATTTTCAGGATATCCCTCCTGGAACTTTGATACCTCCTCATCTCTTGCCCCTGCTCACTGCCCTGGTCACTATTGAGGAGATCAAATTTGTTATTTTTGCTGGCAAAGAGAACTCTGCTCTGGGTCCTGATGGATTCCCTTTTGAGTTTTATAAAACCTCTTGGAATGTCATTAAACACCCTCTTTGTAAGGCGATCCTTTCTTTCTTCTCCATTGGTTTTATGCCCAAGCAAGTGAAAGCCATGGCTATTGCATTAATTCCTAAGCAACCTCATGCCAACAACATTAAAGATTTTCGTCTTATCTCTTTATGCAATGTGGTTTATAAGGTTATTGCAAAGATCATTGCTAATAGGATGAAAGAGGTGTTGTGTCACGACCCGACCCGATCCGGGGCGAATCCCGCTCGCACCGGGCCGCGACCAAACCTTTTATCCAGAATCTGGCTTTGGAATTTGCTTACTGAACTGAATCTTCTAAATTTTTCAACTCACAAGTAAACACATAGACAGACACAGAGCTACTATAAATCGTCAATTGCAGCGGAACAAAACATTAATATTTTTTCTTTCTTTTCCTCAAAACAATCATCTACAAATACGGTACATGGCTAACAGAAGAAATACATAAGAAAAGCCATGACCGTACAAAAATCAAAAGTACAAAAGTACCTATCACAGATCGGACTCTGAACTTTAGTCCTGGACTTCCTTCCCTTTCCCAGAACCTGAAAACCACCAGAAAATGAGAGTGAGCTCAACAGCTCAGCAAAGCAACAAACCTCCAATCAAAACTCTCAGAATCTCAAAACCAAACACATTAGACAAATCTGTACATAAATCAGAACAGAATTGGACAGATATCAAATCGGACAGATCAGAACGAAACATATCAAATCAAAACAGATATGGACAGATCAAATCAGACAGAACTGAACTGAACAAATATCAAAGCAAACAGAACTGTACGGAAACAGAAGTCGTATCAAAT